TGGGCATCCTGAAATGTAAATAATAAGTAAAAGTAATCACTTGGGATATAACCAAACTTTGTGATGATGTCTGTGCAGCAATCTGTCTTCAGGAATGTAAGAACGGTGGGGAGTGTATTGGACCGAGTACGTGTCATTGTCCTCCACAGTGGGAAGGAATCCAGTGTCAAACACGTAAGAATGATGTGACCTGAAACCTCTTGCTTCAGCACAGTTAGGAACGCTTCAGTAATACATAGTGCCTAGAAGTCCTATACCTTGGTTGTATTTTAACCCAAATCTGTGTCAAAGGCAGGATAAAGAGTAGAGATTCCTCTGCCCGTTCCGAAGCTCTCCAGAATATGACGGTAGTCTGGGACCATGGCAGTATGCAGCGGCTTGCTCTAACACTGTACACTGCTGCAACAGCCCTGAGCAGGCTTGAAATAGTAGGATTGTAATAGCTTGAAATAGTAGGATGTCTTAAAAAACACCTTACTCGTGTCCCTATCTCAGTTTCATTCATGCCCTCAGCATGTTCCCATGTTAAATCTGCATCTTTGCATAAGGGGGATGGGATAGGCATAAAAGCGTCATGGGTTCCACGTGACTGTGAAGTCTCCTTACACTGAGGGGTGTTTCCATGTGAAAATACCTACGAAGTTCTCAGCTCCTACAAGCAGGCAGAATAAGTATATAGAGATAGTAGTCACTTTTCCTTCACCAAGTTGTTTTCGTGAATAAAGCCACGTATGTCCCTCTCTTGTTTTAGCTGTGTGCAACCAGAAGTGTCTGTTTGGAGGCAAGTGTGTATTACCTAACGTATGCTCTTGTCGTCCTGGTTATACTGGAGTCCTCTGTGGGAAGAAAATTCAGGTACATGTAGAGTCAAGACATCATCACAGATACAGCAATTTGGGAGTCATTATCTAGACCACCCTTGTCCAATGAAGCAGCACAAAATGAGTTTGTCTAATTTCCTCCTTTCAGTCTCCAGTGAGGGAAAATCCATAAAATTCCTAAGAAGTATTCCAGTAATTTATAGGCTCTAATACTTACAGAATTGTTCTCAACACCTAACGTAAATTTCCTTTGTTTCAAATTAAGCTGATTATCTCTTTTCATTCCCTAAGTGGCTGCAGCACTATCTTCTTCGTAACAACCACTATTCTCTTTTCCAGCATCTGGCCCCATTTTGGGGAAGAGTACCCCACTGTTGACTTTCTTAGCTTGCATCAAGTCAAGCCCTGATCTTTTTCAACTGACTAACTAACTACAATATCACTCAGTTCATCCTTGTTTTATACAGACATTCCTTATCCCCAGGTGTAACTTTGGGAATAGCTTTACTTTTTTGCATTATAGTGAATGATGACCATTTCTTTGTTCTGTCACGTAATCTTCTGTTGTATTCCTTTGCTTGAGTGCTGACAGTCACTCCCTGAAGTAATTTAATTAAGCATTTCATTACAACTAACGTTTTTGTGACGTCTGAAGTAGAAAGCATTCTACTGTTCTCACATCATCTGTGATGTTTCTCTTCTTTCAATTTCAACATATTTAGACGCTTTTCTGGTGCCAGCAGAATTCATTTGGTGGAGTTGGGACATAGCCTAGCTGATTTTAGCACTGCATGCTGGTGCCGTTCCTTTATATTCATCTTTAATTACATGCCACTGTTCACACCTGCACTGTTTTCTTTTAAAAACAATTTAGTTCTTTGGTCTCCCGCTGCAGCCAAACTAGCATATTCTATCCTTCCTGTCTTTCCTTTCTTTTTAGTACTTTGCCACATTATGTCTTTTAGTGTAAAACCTGTAATGTGAGTGCTAGATGTGCAGGCATTTTTAGTGAGAAATGGGTAAAAAACAGGGAAGACAGCAATGGTTTAACTTTGATCCACCCTCGGTTTCTCCCAGTTGAAACTACAGGGAGTTCAGATCTTTTTTCTGTTTTATCAAGTCCAATATACAATGCCAATACCATTTGTGGTCAGCTAGCAGATAACTTGCTAGAGATGGGGCAAATATGTTTAAGAAATTGAAACAATTAATAAATGCTCATACATATTTTGAAAATATAGAACTACACATCCTATGACGATAAGATTATAATGTTTGCAATATGGATTTCCAAAATGTGACCTAAAAAAAAGAAATAACTTTGATTTAAATGTTTACATAAATATATCCTGCAAAGCATTACTATATTTTTAATCTAGAAAATACATTTCTGATCAGTCAGACAGTGCTGTATCATACACTCACCAAAATGGCACATTTTCTTAAAGAAATAAACAAGCTATATGCACAAATTTAATTTAATGTTGTGTTTCTGCATGTCAGGAAAGCAGAGATTCATTAAAATTGTTTCTTAAACTTTATCATAAAAGTGAGCTGTGTCATTAAAGCTTCTTTTTACATTTATTTATTTATTTTTCTCTCCAAGGTACAAAGGCATCATGGTTGAAGAAAAGAAGTGTATCAATTAAATTGCAGTGCTGCATGGATGTATGAGACTTGCAGATAGCAAGATGGTGGAAGGCAATTACAGATTTTATTTAAATGAAAGGAATATCCAGAAGCATTATTTTAAAAGATTCGTATTACAGTCATGAATTTTGGTGAGCTTCAGTAAAACAAACTTGTAGTCATTAAAACATGTATATTTCTATAATTTTTTGCTACCTCATGCACAAACCCCACAGCCTCTGATTCTTCTCTAGGCTCACAGATTTGATGAATGACGCAAACCCAAAATTCTGCAGTTTGTTGATGTAGTCAACTGGACTATTAGACATCCTTTGTGGGAACAAGACTGTAATAGCTGCTGAGTGTCTCTAGGAAAGAAGGCAGCACTTCACCACTTGTGAATGGTACCTTCTGGTTTTAAACATTGTTTACATGCATATTATTTGGCTGCGTACAGATGGAAGAGCAGAACTATTCGTTTCTTCTTTGTCTTGTATTTGCCTCAGTCTGTTATCATGACTACCTAGTAGTGAGGAAGGAAGGGGAACCTAAGACAAGACTTGGCTACTAACAATGGAGGCAAGGCCACATGTCTTCTTAACAGTCAACCAGAGGCAGAATAGTTCTGGTTTATCTGTGGCAAGCCTTTGTAGCCAGGAGCCAGAGACCGACTCGCCTCTCCGCCCCCCCCCCCCCCCCCCTCCACTTCTCCATTACACACAGGCAGTTGAGTACCCAGCTACTGAATGATTTCTGTGTCTGTAAGACTCTTTTATGCCCCTGTTTTGAGATAGCATTCAGTAATAGGAGGAAATTTTGTCCCTGAGTCTCTTAGAGAAATTTGACAATGCTTTTAGCCATGCTGAATCTTAAAACGGGAACTAATGAGGAATTTGCTGTACATCATGCCATACGTATACATCAGATCAGAAAGTATTTGTAGAAACTTAATAGAGGAGTTTTTTCCATTACCTATTGCTCCAGTGAACTGTTAGCAACTACCAGCAGCCAGATAGGTTTTTGAACAAATAAAATTCCAGTTTTTCTAAAGTTTCCTACAGAGGACCACCATCATCATCTTCCCCTAGAGCTGTGAAAGACATTTCAGTTCCTGCCCCAACCAGCTGAGCTCTGGTAATAGGTACAAATGTCCCTTCAGCTAAGCCATTGAAGTTTACTGTTTTGGGTTTTTTTAAACCAAAAATAAATGTCATTACTTCCTGTTCTCCTGAGCAATATTCAATTTACATACACTAATTCTGAATGGGAAGAAAATGGAGCTCATTTTGCCATTTACTGCCACTGGGGGATGCTGATTGCCAAATCATAGCTGTTAGCAGCTCTGTGCCTAGATTTCTCCTCACCTTTTGATAGTCCTCTTAAGTAATCTTGCAAAGTAAGCTGGCATTTTGAGAGCTCAGCATCATTCCAGAACGACACCTGATGGATTTCCAAGTGCCTGACTGGTGTATTTAAAAAACGTTTTCAATTTCCCACTTGCATTTTAAGTTTCAGTGTTTCCATAGCTTCTTTTAATCGAGCATCCAAGTGGCTGATAGCCTGATCTGCTGGGAACTGTTGTATTATTTAAAAGCTACTCCACTTGAACTGTTTCCTTTCTCACATCTCACAAAGATCCCTACGAACAGAACCTGACTAGCTATTGGAACTGATGCCTCAGGATGATGCTTTGAATACACAAGGTTCTGAAAATGTTTTTAAAATGTAAACACACCAATATCACATAATCTCATACTATAATAACCTTCATTCCACATGTCAGTTACAGAGGCGGTGTGCTAGAGAGGTAACATCTGCCAGGAACACTGTTGATGGTACTTTGGTTAATGAGTTTGTGCAACCCTCCATTCACAAAACTGAGTCTATATATATATATCTGCACCTTTCTAGGATTTCAGGCTGAATAAAGAGGTTTTTTTAATAATAACTTTTAGTATTTCCCACTAATTTTCAATGTTTCTAAAGGCAGAAATTACTTCTTTTACGTTTTCCAAATGCAAGCTGCGCAAACAAAAGCACATCCAGACTTTTGCTACAGTAGTTAAAAATGCTCAGTGCTAAGCTGTGCTATTTTCCAGCAAGCACATGAAGCAGAAAAATGACTAGTACATGCATAAAGGCAGACAGCTACTTCAAAACTGCCCAGTAATTATGTGATTAGTTGAAACTATTTTGTTACTAGATTGTCCATCATACACATGAAACAGAATTCACTGTACTTTGAAAGCGTGTTGCAACAATGCAGTAAAATTGCTCAGTTTAACAAGAGGCAGAAGGAGATAGAGGGCTTGTGTACACAGGTTAACAAAATTGTTCTAAAATCGCATAATGTTAATGAGGCCCAAAAGAATTTGGGGATTTGGAAAGGGGGAGAATGGTTGCATGCTGCAGGAGTTGCCACGGTTCCAGTCCAGTGGAACTTGTGCCAAACTGAAGATCTTGCAGTGATTCTTAGCACGTTACACAGAATACAGGTATCATCACTGAATTTTCTTGCATGATTTCTTTAAATACTGAACGGTGCTGGAAGGTACCTATGTACCTCATCCATTTATTATCTGGTTGCACTACAGTTGCTCTGCAGGCCAGCAGAAATTCTCCCAAGTGCAGATTGATTTTTGCCCATGATCTTGAAGAGATTTTTAAAATGCAGGATAATGAATGTTTTCTGAAGGAAGGACTCGTATCACAGAAGGTACCACGGATCTTAGCAAGGACTCAGTTTCCTAGATTTGTATCCATGTGGGCTGTGACACAGAAAAAAAAACAAAAAAATGGGCCCCATGTGAAAGGCTCTTTCTTTTTACAAAAGTTAATTATCTATTCTCATACCTGAGAATAGAAAGTGAGTTCACATTTCCACCTACCAAAAGCAAATCCATGAAGAAGAATCCTTGCAAACCCTAAAGTAAATCAGTATACAAGCCTAAGCTACTTGACAAATTGGCTGTATCCACTCCATTACTTGCCCAAATGGGAAAATCCAAAATTTAAATTCTCAATAAAACATAACACCTCGGTACATACACAAAACCAAACACAGAGGTTAGAAAGTGTTACTAATGACTAAAGATGTTCATGCTGTTTCTCTTCTATAAAGGTATCACATGGCAATGTCGAGTCATTTTATGCAACTTCCACCCAGAGCTCAGTTTAGCCTATAAAGGATATTCTACAGATAAACCAAGTAACTCCATTCGTGCTACAACCACTTACAGTAAAAGAGAAAATATAAATGGTAAAATGTGCATGTGAGTAAATTAAAAAGAAGAAACACTTCTCACCTTTCCACGCACACTCTAAAAAAATAGAATATCAAAACCGCAACCAGTGCACCACCCCTACAATTTTTCCAGTTGTTTTTAATGAAAAGCAGAGCATCTACATAAGGTGTTACAGTTAGCTCTAATAAATAAGGGAGGTAACCTGTTCTGCGTCGTT